GACAGCGATGGCATGTGGGGCGGAGATGGCGTCAGGGGACTTGGATAGCATCAGGGCACTCATTTCTTAACCCACGAACCCTGTGGGCTCTGGTGCTAAAAGTCACACCACCACCACCGCGTTTTCATTTTCAATTGGGGCTTTATTGTCAGTACAGCGAGGTTCAAGTGTCCCTTGTACCCTCAGCTGCAGGGCACGCAGCCCCGCACACTGCTGTACCACGTCTCGCTGCCCCAGGGAAAGGACGAGGCTGTGGCCACGAGCCCATGAGTCGGGACATGCACTGCTGGCTCTCTGGGAGGCTGCGCTCTTTTTCACCCCCAAAAGACCACTCAGGTCTGCTCTAAACATCCATACAAATACAACACAATTCCACGGTTAGATCACACATAGTGCAGCATGTCCTCTCCAAGCTCCCGCTGCCTCCGAGATCATTTCCAGCCTGTGTACAGGACGCTGTTGGAGTGGTGCATTGCAGCTACCCTGCCATGGCTCAGTGCGACCACAATACATTCATCTATCAAAGTGAGACGCATCTGCAGGAAGCAGCACCCAAAACACCACGTAAATGCATTCATCCTGGGCCCTGCATCAACCTTGCCAAGGCACAAATGTCTGTGAGGTCCAATAAGCCGTGCTCAGGGTTTAGTTTTGCGGCTGCGTCTTGTTCATCGATCGTAACCCGACCGACTCTAGAACTGTCAAATCCATCATTAGCTCCTGTACCCAACTCCCAGGCCTCGCTCATCTAGATCCAGCACATCTGACGCTGTCTTCCACCATCCATCTCCCAGTCGCCAGGGAATCAACATTAGGCTGTAAGTTTTAACCCTACAGGGCATACAGGCTCCAATTCATGCCTCTAAGTTCACATCCAGTTTCTAGAGTGCCCCTGAGCTTTTCTAGTTCAGCAAGTGGAAAGCAGAGCTCAGACTTCCATGCTGCATTTCAAAGCTGCTGCCTGTCAGCAGCTTATCTGAGCAGATACACTGTCTTTGCACACGCACACGTAAGTTCACCTTCAAACACGGAAGTAGTATAATAAAAATCATCACGGAAAACTGCTGACAAACAGGAAAGTACACTCTGAAATCAGGACGATAAGGAGTTCCTTCTGGAGTGATCATTTCCTCCAGTGACTTCAGCACAGTACAGGCATATTCCAAAAAGGAGTGTTTTTCTCACAGAGATCATAGATGTCCTGCAGAGTCCTGGTCTCCCTTCAACAATCATCAAATTTTACATTAAATTAACTGCAGATGCTGGCAAATCAAGGCTAATTCTTTAGATACTGCACCCTGCACTGTAAAAAAGAGCTAGTGATGGAGGGGACTTGGCAGGGGGTGGGAGGAAAGGGGCCCAGTTTGTGATGACCTCCCAAAGGACTCTGGAAGCCTAAAGCAGGCCCTTCAATAGATTCTCCTGTGTTGGGCTTCCAAAAACTGAGATTCTCAAAAGTCACTTTCAAGGAGCTTTAGTAGTGCAGTCTATTGAGTGAGTCGATGTAATGAAAAGTGGCTCCCAACGCCCAGCTCGTTTCAACATTGTCAATTTTCCGGGCAAGCTGGAAAAAAACAAACCAAATCAAACCAAACAAACAAGTTAACACATGATTCTTTGGGAGAAGGAGAAGCACGCAAGGTTAATACAGTGCTGAAGGTTATCACAACCAGTTAGCACCATCGTGGGGACAGTGTCCCTCCGTCCCCGATCACACAGCATGTGCTGTAGCAAGACGACAAATGAAGGACAGAGCTACTGGCATGACTACTACCTCAGCACCCTCCCAGCCACTCTCCCCAGCAATCCATTTTGTGCATCACCTTAAAGACTTGGCTTTTCAGGAAGCCTAGTTCTTGCAGGAGGAAGGTGATGTACGTAAGGTCCATGCAGAGAAAAGGGCTGCTTCCGGGGCTGATTTCCATGGTCTTACATACTAAGGAGAAAGAAAACGGTGTCTGAATGCACATTGTGGGCTCAGGACTAGCATCAGCCCAGCTTTGAGAAACCTCAAATGAATTTGTAAAACACCTCTCGTCAGCTGAGTTGCGCAATGATGGAACCTGCTAGAATGGGGTTGAAATGACATGCATGCATTAGAAGCACAAAAGCTTGGGTGCGCTGGAAGGAAGATCAACGCATTTTGTCTCATCCCTAAGACAGCAGAGCTTCTTGTATCTCTCTGGGAAAGGATGAAAAGGGCCTCCACCTTTTCTTGTCTACTTCAAGCCTTTAAGTATATGAGCAACCTCAGGTGTGTTATGTTTCTCCAGCATAAGCACTCAACAGATGTTGACAAAACCAAAGGGGGAAAAAAAAAAAAGACAATGAAAAGACAAAAGAAAAGACAAAACCAAAATTAAACTCATTTCCCTTCTCAGGACGAATTACACAAATGGTAGTCCAGAAATCAGAACTGCAACAATTGTTCAGTCATTCATAAAGTTGACCGAAAAGCCTCATGTCGGTTTGATCAAAGCCTGAGTCTGTGGTATTAAGAAAAGAACATTGACATTTGTAGATCTGAATAGACAGTTCTCTCTGCAGCTGATGAAGTGAAAAGCTATGAACTGGTTTTCCCTCTTTTCTGATTAACAATCAAGCATACGAACAAATCTTGAGACAAAAAGAAAAATTAAACCAGATTAGGACAGGTTATCCTAACAGGATGAGAACCCCCACATCTACTTTGAAAGCATGATTTCAGGATAACTGCTAGCTGGCAAGTTTATTGGTAATTCTTGAGAGAGTTTTGAAATATAAGTATCATAAGATGTGTCTTATGTGGGCTGCAAAAGCAAGAATTAATATAAAATAGTTGACATTCTCAGAAACAAGCAGAAATGTTGGTGAGATGCTGTGGAGGGAGGTGCTCAAGGGAGGTGCTCAATATTTACTAAAAACAAAAAAATCAGGCTTCTTAGCGTGTCACACATTTGCCACCTCAGTATGAATATACACACAATTACTAGTGTGTGTTTGTATTTTACTCACCGTATTTAGCTGCAATCTCAAAGTCATCGACAGTTAAGCTTCCTCCTTTTTCTTTATCTAAAAAAAAAGTGGTCTTTCATGTTTTTTGTATACAGGCAGTTGTAGATTCAAGTCATAAAAGTTGTTTGGAAATCAAACCTTGAGACACTGAAATCACCAACAAAACTCACGTTTGCTTTAAAGGTAAACGAACCTTTAAAAGATTCTTAATATAGATTGAAAAGCCTCATTTTATGAAGAACTTTCAGCCTCATTTCCTAAAGAAACACAGTGTACAGACTCTCTCACCTTGTCCCTGTGTCTGTGCTGCCCTGCCCTGCAATGCCTGAACACAGTTAACGCCTTTGACCAGACGTGACAGGGCAGTGGTGCTCTGCGACATTACATCTGAAATTATTTGCAAAACAAAGTGGCTAAGGAGTGGGGTATGCTTGTCCAAATTAGCTTGAGATCTCATCATCTGCTTTCCACCACTCAACATGACAGCCTTCTGTATACCAGCATACCGCTGGCAAAGAGATGGGATGCATTCTGAACATATGTGGAATTACCTGAAAATCTTCATTCCATCTAAAAAGGTCAGTGAAGCAAAACACAGAGCCCAAGATCACTTTACTCCTTTACCACCCAAGAAATTGATCATTATGAAGGCTTTTTTTCTATTTAGGATTGTAGAGTTAATCAGACAACAACGATTTCTGAAATGCAGACAGTTTGTTTAAAAACCATTACCAGAAGTTGCTGGTCCTATTTCATAGCCCCACTCCTGTCTCTACAGAAACTAAACAGCATTCAATATCCAATCCAGACCAACGCTGCACAGCAGTGTAGCAAAAGACTAAGTTCCATGACAGCGTAGCAAAGCATTGTGAAGTGTATATGTGTCACTATTTCTCCCACACCTTGTCATTTAAAATGCAATGAAAACAGGAGCAAACGTACCTATGAGACCAACCTCTGCTGCACGGTCATAGTAGTAGGAGAAAGTATAAAAATCCAAGTCCTTCACTTCCTCAGCTTTATGCACTTTTTTATAGAGCATCTTTGCCACTTTGTTAGAACAAGACTCAAACAGAGGCTCACCTAAAAGAAGGCAAAGAAACCCAGTGTATTATAGGCAGAGAATTAAATATACATACAGTTTATCTAGGATCTGCCAGGAAACAGGCTCCTTTTTGCACAATAGCTCTTCATAAGCTCTTCACAGAGAGCTGAAATCGGCATCTTCTCCCAGCAGCAACACTTACCATCTGCAGGCTAGGACTAAGTATGCGATAGATCAGAGATGGACATCATCATTTGAGGCAGAAGGATTTTGAAGCATTTTGAAAGTCAGCTTTACTGACTGGACAGAGACGCCAAGGTGCAAGAGAAAAGAGCTGCAGAATCTCTTTAACAGTACGTCAAGAGGAGCCAGAGAGAACAGTAAACAGAGAATCTATTGTCTTCGCAAGAGGCTGAGAGTATATCATTTACTCTGCTAATAGCATGCTGGCCTAGATAGGAAAAGTGATAAATCACTATACCTGCCTTCTGTCCTTTAATTTTGTACACTATCTCAGCATGTTGCCATTCAGATTTGAAGCCAGGTGGTAAACAAGGGCTGATCAATTCCTCCCCTTCACCTACTGCAGAAGTAAAACAAAGCCACATTAAGCAAAAACATAAAGAGTTTATTTCAGATCCCTCACCCCTAGCCCTGCTCCATACTGTCCCACAGCCTCAGCAAGGCACTTCCAAGCCCCAGTCATGGCTCAGATGTCCCATGCCCCCACCCAGGGCTGGCAAGAATCCAGGACTCCTGGGATCATGCAGTGTCACCTCGTGCATTCATCTCAAACACACCCAGTCATGGTGACAGGAATCCATGTACCACTCAGGAACCTTGAGCCAAGTGGGAAGGGGACAGACAACTCTTCTCCCCCGCCAACAGGGCTACATACCCTATGCTCAGAGTCGAGACTTGAGGAGTGCCCATAACTTACAGGGTTTTCCCTCAACTCCTCCTAAAATGGCGAGCCTTGCCGACATCAGCCCGAGTCCCAGGTAACTGCAAAGGGACAAAAAGCCTCCATGAACAACAAACATCCTTCCTCTGATACGCCACTGACAACGTGGCTGGGACATGCCAGTCTCCTCTACATGGTCCCAACAAAATGTCTCAAGTTAGCAGCTAATGCATGTAAGGGGAAGAGTGTGACAACCCATTCTCATATTACCCTTACCCAGAAGGATAATCGCTCTTTGAAAAAGCACAGGCGATAGCTGATAAGAGTAATCTGGCTCTTGAAGAAGTAGGAATGCTGAAGGCATTCCCCTGACGTTTCTCCTACCCTCCTCAAAGGCAGCACAGCCTCTAGCATACGGAATTGACTCTTACTGAGCTCAAACACAACTCACAGCAAACACAGGTGGGAAGAAGCTGCTTCCCTCTGCCCAAAACACTGGGAACAAGGGAAGACAGAGAAGAGGAAGGAATGGCAGAGATGAAGTGCCATGAACTGACTGCAACCCCCATTCTCCATCCTCCTGTGCCACTCGGCGGTGAGGAGATAGAAGAGTTGGGAGTGAAGCTGAGCCTGGGAAAGAGAGAGAGGTGGAGGGAAGGTGTTTTTGATTTTGTTCTTATTTCTCATTATCCTACCATTTAACTGGCAATAAATTAACTTAACTTCTCCAAGTCGAGTCTGTTTTGCCCATGACAGTAACTGATAAGTGACCTCCCTGTCCTTATCCTGACCCACGAGCTTTTTGTCATATTTTCTTCCCCCCCTGTCCTGTTGATGGCAAGGGGAGTGATAGAGCGGCTTAGTGGGCACCTGGCAGGCAGCCAAGGTTAATCCACCACAGTGATGTGGCTCAGGTTTCTCTGCTTCTTCCCAGTACTGATTTGCAAGGATCTCACTTCAGCAAAACACCTAGATCTCACTGACTTCATGGAAAGCTTCTATCTGTACAGTGTGCTCTCCTTCCCACAACTAACCTGTACGAATACAGCTTGTAGGTGTTGTTAAACATCTGAAATGAAGTTGTATGGCCAGCTGGCAATGTCTGGAGAGTTGCCTGGAGGGAGAAAAAGATGTCACTGCAAGGTTTTTGCCAGCAGTAGCACACATCAACAACACAATCTTCCAAAACATTAGGAACAACATGAAACAATCCTAGCATGGTTCAGAGAGAAATGATGAATTTGCAAGTATTTCAATTTGACCACTGATACACAAGACAACTACAAAACCTGGAGCTAAAATAGTGTCTCCACAGAACAGAGTCTAAACTGGTTACATTTCTATTTATATCCCCACCAAACTGGTGTATAAAAGAATTATTTTCATTTAAAAGGAATCCTCATTGCAGCTCTTAACTGCTTTTGTCAAGAGGCTACAGCAACTGCCTCTTCACATGATCCCTATTAGGGAAAACTGTGCAAAATAATATGAAAGCCCGGGATGCACAACTTCCTACCCAAGCGAATTCGGCTGTGAACTTCCACAAGCCAGAGGAAAAGCACATCACTCTGTTTGCCAAGGAACACAGTGAGCACCAGCTTGTGGTCTGAAGAAAGGGAAGGGTAATTATTTAAAGCACTTTGCAGCCTCTTCCCTAAGTGCACCAGCATGGCCAGCGGGTTTGTGGGGAGCAAAGCTCAGGCCATGATGCTATTCATGCTGCATCACCATCTCTAAGTTCAGAATTTCCACATCCCAGACTCTTCATATCCCCTCTCATTCTGCTGTAAGAGCAAAATGTCGTGATTAGCCTAGGCTGGGACACTAGATACAGCATCCCAACCCTCTGCTTTTGGGCAGCTTCATTGTGAACAGTATCTCTGCCCAGGCCAGAGCCTTACGACTCCACATCCACAGGGCTTCCAGCTCACAGAACGCCTATAAAAACGCCACAACGGGAAGTTGAAATGACAAATATCAGCAGGTATTTTTTATTACATAGTAACAGTTGCTCCTTAGAAAGCATTCATTTGCAACTGAGTGAACTCAGCAAAACCAGAAACAAGGATTGAGAAGGCATCTTACTGTGTTCTTAAAACCCAGTATAGGCCAAATGCTGGACTTGAATTCATTAACAGCATTACCTTTGAGTTCTTCGTTATAAGCAGCACAAACTGAGAGACAAGGGTTAAGACGCTCAGGTGAACATCACATTTTCCCCAAGATAAAGCAGTCCTGGAAGATTCACCACGTGCACCACCGACTCATAGATTTGGAGTAAGACAAGTAAGATTTGGACAAAGAGCTGTGAATGCCTCCATGACTGACTAAACAAGGCAGATGTGACCAAATAACCTGGGTTTTTCTATCAGAAGCGTGGCTTCATGTCACGCTGACGAAACTCTTGGTCTGTTTCCAAGGGAAACAAATCTGAGCAGCTACTGATTTCTGCAGCACTTCCTAACAGCGTGCATGTTCACATTACCTCAGTGCGTGGAAGGAAGGTGATCTGTGTTGATCCACCACCCAAATCCAGCATCCCTACACTTCTCTTCCGTGGATCGTCTAGGCTACCTGAAATGTGTGACAGAACAGAGAAAGCCATGGTGGGCGCTCTGAGAAACTGGCTAAGAACAAAACCAGAAGTACAGTGGTAAACAAAAAGGACAATCTAACTCCACCTGTCAGCTTCCAGCTGGTGCTAAATTATACTGTCATCTACTGCGCGCTTATTTTGGCTTTATCAGGCTGACTTGAAAACCTTCAAGAGACAGAGTTTCTCTTATTTCTCTGGTGGCTGTTCATGCCCTAATTACAGCAGCTCTGGTTACGGGATTCCTAAACATTTTTCAGTGGCTGCAAGGACCCTTTTGCAAACTCTACTCTGGTAACCACTTTGTAACATAGAAGAATGTGGTTTTCTTGGCCACCTCTCCCTGATCCCTTAGTGATATTTTGCAGATTCCTATGGCCAAGGGGATGACAGACTGAAAAGAGCTGGCCTGAGAGACTCAGCTCTCTTGGAATTCTTCCTGCTGCCAGTCCAGA